AAAAAAAAAAAAAAAATATATATATATAAGCCCACATTTTTATAAATGCGCAATAACATAAAATAAGTATAAAAAAATTTTAAAAGATATATGTCCATATAATATAGGATAAATAAATTTCTTGAATACATGTTACTACATTGAAATGGTTTATTTATTTATTCTCTAATCTAATAAATAACATTTACATTAACATTAACATTAACATTAATCATTAGTGAAGCCATATTTTTGCAAAATGTGTACAATTAAAAAAGGTTGAAAAATTAGACAATTTTTTTTTATATTAATTTGAGTTCACGTATTCATTTCATATCATTACTTCATTAACAAATTGAGTCCATTCTTCCTTGGTCAGGCGTTTAACAGAAAGTACCTTACATATCCAACTAGTCATTCCAAGTCTAACTTTTTTCCACTTGGCCCAGTTTGACTCTTCATATTGTAAATATTCTTTTTCCTTAGGGACAAACCATTCTATGAGTTCCTTTATCTTATTTTCTATGCCTGGAATCTGACTGAACCATCCTTGACTCTTCACCAAATCTAAAAATTCTGCAGCTGTCATATATTCAAGCGCTTCATAATCAACATACTCTTCTCTCTGTTTCCACAGATGCAATAACCACCCCTTAATATGCTTCTCCTTAAATCTTTTCATATCATTCTTCAGAGTATTCACTAAATCAGCATAAGCACCCTCCATCCAATTCTTAAAAAGTGAATCCATATGATTTCTTACTTCTTTGTCAAACCACTTCTTACCTTCCCCAGCGTTCGCATTAACTGTTAAAATATTCTTAGCATCTTCTCCTACTGATGTCAGTTGGCTATAATTCATCCATCTGCTTTGAATCAAATTAAACCATTTCGAAATTTCTTTATCCTTTTCCTTCATGAAAGCACTTCGTGATTTATTTAATTTATCTTCAAACCTGAACCAAGACATTTCTAAAGCATGTTTAAACGTGTCCCAATCTTTATATTGTGAATCGTCTATGTCATAATCTTCTTTTTCTTGTGTCTCCTCCTCCACCACAGCATCTTCATCTTCGTACACATCTCCTAAATCGCCCCATGCACCATATCCTAGGTCCCACCCATAATGAGCATCTAGGTTCTCGTTCACATCATGCCCCTGTACTATATATTCTTCTTCCATTCTTTCAACATCTACTCCGGATTCTTCCTCAAAATAACCTCCATCTTGTGCCTCATACGACCCTTCTAAATATACATCCCCTTGAACAGACTCCCCTTCTGAATATTCTTCTCCCTCCCCTAGAACAGATTCTCCTTCTAAGTATTCTTCTCCTCCCCCTTGAACAGATTCGCCTTCCCAGTCTTCATCAGGATAACCTTCTTCTTGTATCTCGTACTCCCCTTCTACATATTCTTCGCCTTCCGTTTCTCCTGCAGGAGTGTATTCTCCGCTATCCTCCCCTTCCTCCCACTCGACATCCTCTAATTCACCCTCATGTTCTGATTGAGATACGGTTTCCTTTGCTAAACTGCGAGCAACTCTGTTAGGTACTTGCACTTTGGCCAACTGCTCTCCTCCCTGTCCTTGTAAGTCATGTTGGTGCTATAGCGGCAAGGAAGTATGGTGATGAGTTCATAACAGAATGGAAATATGGCACATAGCAGGGGAGGCAATAAATATGCATACGGTAATATATATATACACTATACGTACATGGCATATATATATAGCCACTCGTACAAATTTGCACTCTACATACATGCATATATCAGCATGCCTCTTTCTTGTTCAGTGAGCTTACCTTCAAAAAGATGTACGCAGAAACAATAAAAAGGATGGCAACTCTTTTGGAAAAGAAGGACCTGGGTGCGGATTCTACTTTGCCATTTCGGGATTGGGACGCTCCTTGTAGGAGGCCGCTGGACGATGTTGTTTTCTTCAAATTTGCCATGTTGTTATTGTATGCCTATGTTTAAGAAAAATACACCAGGTATAGTATGGTTTAACTCCGTTCTTACATATAATACCGCCTTGCGATGTGTAAAAAAAAATGTATATATATATGTTCTTGTTATATGAAAATTGTAGTTTCTACAAGGGGAAAAGGAATTGAAATATGATGAGCCAACTGTATACATATACATACGTACATACACATACACATATAAATGTTTATATGAGCACGCGTTTTAGGGGTAGTACTACTATATCCATTCTGCATGGTTTGCAAAATTTGTAGAATTCACAAAAATGTGCTTAAAAAAACCAAAAGGCAGGAGGAGAGATTCCACCTTTTTAATATATAAATTATTACAAATTTTTTACAAACTTACCTATGAAAAAATATTAGAAAAAAAAAATTCGAAACACAGAAAGTCCAATCCTTACATGAAGAATAAATTATACAATTAAAAAAATACATAAAATAATATTACAAAACACTCACCTTTCTTGTCTTCTACTGTTGTTTTAGTTTACATTAAAAGTTGTATTAAAAAAACAAAAATTTGGTAGTTGTATAACTCGTAAATTCCTTAAAAATAAGTTAAAGGTAAACGGTAAAATAAGAACGAAAATAAGAACGAAAATAAGAACGAAAATAAGAACGAAAATAAGAACGAAAATAA